CCCCCGCTCGCCCCCGCAGCCCCGGACGTCAACACCTGCCGCAAGGTGACAGCCACCGAGCCCCTCAGCCTCATGTCCGAGCCCTGCGCCACCCAGGGCGCCTCCATCAACGGCGGCCCCCCAAACGCGGTGCTCGCGACGCTCGCGCCGGGCGCCACCTTTGTGTATGACAACACAGACAGCAAGCAGCGCAGCCGCTGCGGCACGGACGTCGCGTCCGACCCGCCGGGCAAGCAAATCTGCTGGATATTTGCGTCAGTGCCTGGCGGCAAGTCTGGCTGGCTGCCAGGGATCAGGGGGACGTTTGAGAACGCGTTCTGCGAGCTGACGAGGCCGCAGGACGGGCAGCTGCTGGCCGGCTTCGGAGTCGGCTGCCCTTATTGTGAGTGGTGAAAGGGGAGAGAGGGTGTGGGGGGGCCCACTCGAGAGCGCGCGTGTGGCTGCAAGGCCTGTGTTGCGAGCGTGCGCGTTGCTCAGGCGCAAAACACACCTCGCCGACCTTGCTTTGACAAGATTCACACCTGCCCTGCTTGAATATACGTCCGCCGCCCCACGTCGCTTGCCCCTGACCTGTGCATGCTTACCTTCCCAAACCACCACCTGACCTCGGGGCCCTCTTGCAGCTTGCAAGCCCGGCTACGGCGGCCCCAATTGTGACATGTGCATCCCCGGCCACGGCGGCAGCAAGTGCGCGCTGTGCGACGCGGGGACCTTCTCTCGGGGCGGCAGCCCCTCAAGCACCAAGCCGCAGTGCACGGCGTGCCCCAGGGGCAGCACGCCCGGCAACGGCAGCACCACTGCCGCGGCCTGTACGGTCGCAGGTGAGGAAGGCTGTTTCCCGCCGCCCCTGCCAGCAGTTCTCAAGTTACCCTTGATGCAGGGCGTCTGATGAACGGGCAATCGAGCCGACCGGCTGCACCATACCAACACGTTTGCATGCGCCAGCGCCTTGTCACACCCCCACCCCCGCCTGGTCGTCACACGCACGACCAAAGACGGCTACCTTGTGTGGCGGCAGCAACGAAACTAACGCCAACTTTTTCCCCTTTGCTCTGACTCCCACTCCCAGGCCCAGTGCGCTGCTTTGGTGGCAATGGATACGGCCAGTCAAACGTGCCGCCTGACCTTGGAAACGTGTCCGCCGTCTTTGGGGGCGACAGGCACTCGTGTGCGCTGACAACCTCTGGTTACGTTCGTTGCTGGTGAGCGGCAGCCCTGCAGGTCGGGACGGTATGTCCATGGTCCGCCAGCCGTTTTTGATCTGAATGAGGGAAGAAAAGTTCGGGTCTTTGATGCATGCGAGGCAGAGGCCGTGACAGCGTACGGTGGTCTCAGCCGCTGAAGCTATTTTTCAAACCACCCTGGACCAAAGCCGCGGCCTGCTTGTCGCCTGAGAAACGCACTCAATCCTTTTGGAATTGCAGGGGCGACAACAGCGACGGCCAGTCCACGCCGCCTGCAGACCTGGGTAGGTGCGTTGCCGTCGCCGTCGGCGGCGTGCACACCTGTGCAATCACCGCTGCTGGCGCAGTGCGGTGCTTCGGCGGCAGTCAGTACCAGCAGACCGCGGTGCCGCCCGACCTGGGGTCGGCGGCGTCGATTACAGCAGGCGGCTACCACACGTGCGCGGTGACCGCGGCCGGCGCGCTGCGTTGCTGGGGCGCCAACGGCGCCGACCAATCAAGCGTGCCGGCGGACCTGGGCAACTCGTCGATCGTCGTTTCGGCCGGCGGCTTCCACACGTGCGCGCTGCTGTCGAATTTCTCAGCCAACGGCAGTGTAGTCCGGTGCTTTGGCCTCGCCTCAGACGGCCAGATCGCGGTACCCTCGGATCTCACGAACCCAGTGGCGGTCTCAGCGGGGTTCTCACACACGTGTGCGGTGACGTCATCCGGTGGCGTGCGGTGCTGGGGCAGCAACCGGTCCGGCCAGGCCTCGCCGCCGCCCGGCCTCGCTAATGTGGCTGCCGTGTCGGCCGGCGACGCCCACACGTGCGCCTTGCTGGCCAGCGGCGTCGCGAGGTGCTTCGGGCGGACGGACAGTGGCCAAACGGTCGTGCCGACCGGCCTGCCAGGCCCTGTGACGGCGGTGTCTGCTGGGTTCGGCACGCACACCTGCATCCGAACCGGTTAACAGCCTTTCTTGAACATGATTTTACTCACAACCAGCGGTTCTTACTGCTTCATGTCCATCCACTTAATGCGTCTGGTACAGCATTTGATGATGAGCACTGCCAAAGGATTGCCCGCGTGCAGGTCCCTGTCTATGTCTTGATTTCTCAGCATGGTAATCAGGCTGTTGCACGCACATCCTTCTTGTCCGCATTGACGCTCCTTAACACACACACTCGGCGCATGCCAGCCAGTATGGTGCATCACATCCATACTACGTGCATGCTGCACTCCACCCGCCTGTCCGCCTGCCACCGCCCCAACCTGCTGGCCTGACCCGACGGCATTTTTCTGCTGGCAGACCAACGCACCCATGCGCAGCCAAAGCGCAAACCAATGCAGCTGTCAGTGCCTTGATCCGCGTGCACCGACACCGTGTGCATCCTTCTGTTTACTCATTCAATTTGTGCTGCCGACATGACCGTGTGATGCCGGAGATGGCGCGGCTGCTGCAAGCGGCGTCCCAGATTCCTTGCGGCAGCTGAGGCAAGGACGCAAGCTGCATCCAGTACTCCAAAGCAACGCTGGCCTGCTTGCACGCACGCCCCAACTGCGTTCTGCTCCTGAGCTGGCAGAGGGTGCACCTTGCGCTCTTTGCGTTGTGAACGGATGTGAGTCGTCCTCCTCAAGCCTTCTCTTGTATCCGGTATGCACGTGGAAGCTGGGCAGTTGGCTTGCTGTGAGTGTTCCTTTGCCGTCACTATCCTGTGTTTTGTAAATTGCACTGGCCTGATGCTGAGGGTTGTAACCGGCAATTTGCATCTCCCAATTGACTGCAAGTCAGGCAGCTCTGCTGCACACACGCGCAACACACAGGGCAACTTTTGGCCGTGTTCCATTGCTTCTCAACCCGCTACTCTTGATCCGACGGCACATCCAACCCGCCTGCGTGCAGTTGCACACGGGAATTTCAATTGTAGCCGCTCGACAACAGTCGGGCTCGCGTCCTGCGTGAACCCACTGATTTCCTATAAAATTGGGCTGCCTCCCTCCTCATGCACAGGAGCAGGCCGCGGAGCGGGACCGTTTGCAATCGGTCAAATCTGGTCAACTGGGCGCAGGAAACAAAATTGCAACCACAGCATGGGCTCAGGGGATCAGAGGCGCTCATTGGTGAAGCAAGCAAGACGTGTCACAAACGTAGAGTCCAAAAACTGGTGAGTTTTGGAGATGATACAACACAACAATGACTGCAACAGTAAATGAAACGTCAGCGCTGCAGGACACGCAGCCGACAGCGCGTTGTGCACTGGCAGCTGGGCGATGCCAAACCTCGTTGCTGCTGCAAACGTGCCCTTGCCAATCCGCGTTCAACGTGCAGAGTGCGACGCCACCGTGTGCAGCGCAAAAAAAGCGCCAGTTGCAGCACAGCCAGTGGATTACCAGCCTGCCCGCAGCAAGCTAGCGACCACGTTGCTGCAGGCCAGCGGCGCCCCGCGCTGCACCCCACACTCACATCACAGTACCTGGTCACGCCACAAAGACAAACACTGCAAGGAAGACCATGACGACGAGGAAGACCTTGATCATCAGGCCGCGGTTGGACGAGATGCTCTTGAGGTACCGCGCGAGCTGGCCCCTGGCTGCATCCACGTGGCCCAGGGTCTCGTCTATGTTGTCGTCGATGCGGGCCACCATGTCCCCTTGAGATTGGACCTGCGGTTGTGAAGGGATTAAGGAGGAGGGCGAGAGTTGCATTTGTGTGTGTGCAGGTGCGTGCGTGTGTGTGTGTGTGCGTGTGTGTGTCGTGTGTGTATGTGTATATGTGTGTGTGTGTGTGTGTGTGTGTGTGTGTGTGTGTGTGTGTGTGTGCGTGTGTGTTGTGGAGGAAGTGGTCGCGCCGCGGTGCAGAAAAGCAGGGTGTGTGTGCGTGCTGGTGGTGACGCCAACGCATTCCCTGCCACCAGCACACTCCTGAGACAGTTTTACGTGTCGACATCGGCGCTTGGAGACCTAATAGTCGGCACTGCATCAAAGCGGCACCTCTCAGCGGGCCGGCAAACGCTTGAGGAGCGGCCCCGCAATAACCCCCATCCGTCGCCTCTAACCAGCCACACGCCCACCATCTCAGCCAGGTGCGTGAACATGCTGCCCAGCTCCACAATGGTGGCCTCGACGCTCTGCAGGGCGCCTGCTCGGCCGTGCATGTAGGCATCCTGTCGGGGTGGGGTGCATGGGTGGTGGGTGGGGCTTGCGGAGTGGAAGCTGGGTGAAAGTAGAGGGCGCGCAAGTGCATGGTACTTGGAGGGGAGAGCGTGGTGGGCTCGTGTTGCAGGCGTGGGACTAAGGAGGTGGGTGGTGAGGAAAACGCTGGCGGAAGTTGTGGTGCGCATGCAAATGCAGCATCCTGCTGGTTGGGCAGCCGCTTGGGTCGCGCGTCATGAAGTATGGGGCGCAGCAGGGACGCTCGCGCCGGCTGCAGTGCGGGGCCGTCAGGGCCCCTGAGCCAAGGCTCCTGCGGCGGCGAGCTGCGGCTGACGCAGTTCGCTGACCCCGGCCCCTGGCTACAACAAAAGGGGTCTGGTCTGCTCCGGATAGGGCTGTGAATTGTCGGAGCGCCGACGCACCTGCTGGGGCGCCAACAACTGCTGCTGCTGCTGCTGGCCAGCGCCGCTCGGGGAACCCTGGACAATCAGGGAGTTGGGGCGGGTGGGTGATGCAGCTGACGTCAGCGGTGCGCCAGGTCAGCACATTATGGAAACTGGGGAGGGGGGACCTTCAAAAACGACAAGAGACGGCGATGCTCAGCCCTGAAGGTTGCAGTCAAGATAGAAAGAACGGAAGTGGCGGCGGAGTGCGGAGGAGGGCGAGAGAGGGCGAGAGACAACGCGCAGGGCACCCTGCTGCATATTGGAGTCATCCGTTGCGGGTGATGCTGCTGAAAGTGCGGTTGCGGCGTGCCGCACGGCGGCCCCTGCAGCGACGGCGTGCCCGCCATGCGGCGCGGGCTGCGCTGCGTTCACTGGGTCTCCGCACCTGGGGGCCCCTTTGAGACCCGAGGTCGCCGCGCCGCTGCCTGACCTGCCGTATCACATCAACATGGATGGATTGGTAGGCGATATGGTGAAAATAGACGCGATGAAGAGGCTTGAGACAGCGCTGCCAGCGATTGACGGTCAAAGGCACCGCCACCTGCGAGTTCGGCACGCAGGGCGCTCCACGTGCGCGGCTGCTGCGCTCGCCCAGGCAACGAGCGGACGCCGTCGGCATCAGCAGGGGACGGATGATTGCGGACTGGCCGGGCCACCTCAAAGTCACCTCAACACAACCGCCCACCTGGCCACCAAACAGGCTGGACGCGCTTGCGGCCGCGCCGCCGCCGTCGCCCGTACTCAGCAGCAGCGGCGTCCGCTCCATTGAGACTGCGGTGCCACAGGGGGTGCGCAGCGAACAGCAAGCAGCAGCCGAAATGATCGTTATTGCAACGCCACCAGTGGCTTTCTCAAGCATTTCGTAGCTCCCGCAGCACATCTTTTGATTACTGAAATCCAGAGAGTACACGTGCGGCGGATCGAGAGGGTGCACGAAGCAGGGCATCCACGCGTGCGCGCCTGCCGTTGAGTGTATCAAGCTCTGGCCGCAACACACCTCCTGGGTCTGGCGAGTGCGAGAAGAGCTGCCGCCGCTCGTTGTGAGATTTTAGGCTGTCCGTTCGTGCCGTCAGGATCTGGTGTGAGTGAGTGTGTGTGTGTGTGTGTGAGTGTGTGTGTGTGTGTGTGTGTGTGTG